TAATGTGAATCTTGAGAGCGGGTTTGTGAATGGCATTGTTGAAGTAGGAGTAAAGGATGAACTTCCAGTACCAGGAGTACAGATGCTGTTAGGGAATGACTTAGCTGGTGATAAGACAATCCCTGAACCTATTATGTGTGAGAACCCACTCAAAGGGGAGGCTTCTGTAGAGAAGAGAGAGACAAATGATGAGATATACCCTGCCTGTGTCGTGACCAGAACAATGTCAAAGATAGGAGAAGAAATTAATGAAGTAGAAGTAGGGAATTTATTTGAGGAAGAGTTAGCAACAAATGGTGATGCAGTAGAAGTAAAGAAGAATGAACAGGGTGCTATAAAAATGAAAATAGATATATTACCTGATTTTGTTGTTGACAAAAAGGAATTGGTAAAATTTCAGATGGGTGATGAGAGTTTGACGGGATTTTGGAGTGAAGCAAAGCGTAATGGTGGAGAGAATGATGTAACTATTGGATTTTATGTACATGGTGATGTATTAATGAGAAAGTGGAGACCTGTGGATGTTCCAGTATCAGATCATTGGGAAGTGAGGAAGCAGATTGTAGTCCCAAAGGAATATAGGGAACATGTTATTGCTTTGTCCCATGATTCATATTTATCTGGACATTTGGGAGTCAGAAAGACCACTGACAGGTTGTTGACCCATTATTATTGGCCAAATATGAAAAAGGATGTATCTGTTTACTGTAAAACATGTGAGATATGCCAAAGAGTAGGTAAACCAAACCAGGTTATAAAACCTGCACCTCTAAAGCCCATTCCAGCATTCTGTAAACCATTTAGCAAGATAGTGATTGATTGTGTAGGTCCTCTACCTAGGACACGGAAAGGAAATTGCTATTTGTTGACTATCATGTGTGCATCCACTAGATTTCCAGAAGCCATACCAATGCGTAGCATACACTCTAAGAACATTGTGAGGGAGTTAGTGAGATATTTTTCCTGGGTAGGTCTACCTGAAATTGTACAATCAGATCAGGGAAGTAATTTCACTTCAGGAATGTTCAAGAAAATTTTAAAGGGATTACATATTAAACATAATTTGTCAAGTGCTTATCATCCTCAGAGCCAGGGAGTGGTGGAAAGGTTTCACCAAACTTTGAAAAATATTTTGAAAATGTATTGTGAAGAATTATCAATGGACTGGGATGAGGGTGTACCTTTAGCTTTGTTTGCCATAAGAGATGCTGTGCAAGAGTCCACTGGATTTAGTCCATTTGAGTTGGTATATGGACATGAAGTGAGAGGTCCTCTGAGCATGCTGAAGGAGAAGTGGATTGGGAAGGACGATGCTCCAGGATTACTAAAGTATGTGTCCGACTTTAAGAATAGATTATTTAGAGCTAGAGAAATTGCTGCAGAAAACTTAAAGAAATGTCAAGAGGATATGAAGAAATGGTACGATCAGAAGTCTAAGAGCAGAGAGTTCAAGCCGGGTGACAAAGTATTAGTATTGCTACCCCAAATAGGAAACCCTTTGGAGGCAAGATTCCAAGGTCCTTGGATAGTTGAAAAGAGAGTAGGAGAATTAAACTATGTAGTGAGCACCCCAGGAAAACGCAAGCCGAACCAGTTGTGTCATGTTAACATGATGAAACCTTATTATGACAGAAATTCAACAGAAAATAATGTAAGCAACAAAGTGAACTGTGTATGTACAAATTTAAGTGATGAACAAACGGTATATGAAAATGATGTAAAACTTGAAAGGTGTGAAAACAAGCTCTTGAAAAATTCAGATGCAATAAATAATTTAACACAGAAACTCAACCATTTGGGAAATGAGAAGAAGGGTCAAATTATGCAAATTGTACGGGATTTTAAACCTCTGTTTTCTGATGTTCCTAGGAGAACTGATGTGTTACAACATGATGTGGAGGTTACAGACACTTCACCGATTAAACAACACCCTTATAGAGTGAATCCTAAATTGAGAGAGATAATGAGGAAAGAAGTAGAATATATGCTTGAAAATGACTTGATTGAAAAGAGTAATAGTCCTTGGAGTTCACCATGCGTACTAGTTGCTAAGTCTGATGGGATTTCTTATAGATTTTGTACAGATTACCGGAAAGTAAATAATGTAACTAAAGCTGATTCGTATCCTATCCCAAGAATAGATGACTGCATTGATCAGATAGGTGAGGCTAAATATGTAACTAAAATAGATTTATTGAAGGGATACTGGGAAGTACCACTAACTGCGAGAGCTAAAGAGATTTCAGCATGGATGGTCTATATCAATATAAAGTGTTACCATTCGGTATGAAAAACAGCGGTAGTACATTCCAGAGACTAGTTAATCAAGTATTGTGTAATGTAAAAGGCTGTGCAGTGTATATAGATGATATAATCTTGTATTCAAAAACTTGGGAAGAACATGTGTATATAATCAAAGAAGTATTTGATACACTGAATCGAGCAAATCTGACTGTAAACCTCGTGAAGAGTGAATTTGCCCAAGCAACTGTGGAATATCTAGGTTATATTGTGGGGCAAGGAACTGTCAAGCCAATTAATGCTAAGGTGGAAAGTATTGTGAATTACCCCATTCCGAACAATAGGAAAGAATTGTTAAGATTTTTGGGTATGAGTGGATATTATCGTAGATTTTGTAATAACTACTCAACCATTGCTTTTCCCTTGACCAACTTACTGTCAAAGAAAGTAAAATTTGTGTGGAGTGCTCAGGCTGATGAAGCCTTTAGGAAACTGAAACAGATACTTATAAATGCACCTATTCTTTCCACCCCAAATTATGATATACCTTTCAAATTGTATGTAGATGCTAGTGATTTTGGAATTGGTGGAGTCTTAATGCAAGAGAAAGATGGTGTTGATCACCCTATTTGTTATTTCTCAAAGAAATTTTTATCATATCAAAAGAACTATAGTACCATTGAAAAAGAATCATTGGCACTGATTTTGAGTTTGAACCATTTTGATGTTTATTTGAGAGGGTTGAATAAAGCAATCCAAGTTTATACAGATCATAACCCACTTGTATTTTTGCATAAGATGAAGAATGTTAATCAAAGATTGACAAGGTGGAGTCTTTTGTTACAGGATTATAATTTGATTATTGAACATGTGAAGGGGAAAGAAAATGTAGTAGCTGACACATTGTCCCGTATGCCATGTAGTCATGAGTCAACCTGTGGCTGACTCATGCCTCTTTTGGGAGGGGGGATGTTACACTAATCCTCTCATATCCTAAAATTTTCCTGTGATAATTTTTTATATAGGTTATAGTAACTATCTAAGTAGTGCATCATAGAATATAATGGTTTAATTTCTGGAACGATGTTTTATACTTTTAAAAGTGGTTTATGATTTATTTGCATCTGTTGAGTATTATCCGTTTGATTTCATTAATTGATCTATATAAAAAGTTTTTCCTCATTTAATACAAATGTGAGGATCAAGAAGATGCTAATATTTAGTTGGATTAAGATACAAAGTGAAATGTCGATTATTTAGGAAAAGTGTTGGAACATTTTGTTGACAACGCTCTCTCGATTGTTAGGCCGGAAGGGTAAGGAAGGGAAATGCTTGCTGCTGTATTTCATCTTTAATTTTAGAATATAGTAATGGTTGTCATGGGTCTGGTTGCAGTTTAAAGTTTTCTCATGAGATGTAGAGTAAAGCCAATTAATGAGAAGAAGTAAAAGTCATGGGAATTGTACAATATTTCATTTGAAATGTGAGTGGCCTCACAGCCATCGAGAGCACGTGCCCAGGTATGACATTTTTAATATTTTGTTTAATTCACCACATATATGTTTTGATAGTTGATGACAAATGATAATTCAAGAATGATACCTATTTGTATGTGAAGGATAAAGTGTTTTCGTGTAATTAGAAATTATTTGAGATATATTTCTTTACTAATTTTTTATAATATATTTTGATAAAAATTAAATGTAGATATTATTTTCCATTACCCTACCATTGAACAGACTAATCTCTGTAAGTCAAATAAACACCTGTCAGCTATCAGGAGATGTTAGCCAGAGGAGTGTGGTCTAACCTGTTATCTCTCTGTTAACAGAAACTATTATTTCAGAGTGAGTTCTGAGATAATGAGTCGATGGGCTGATTTGCATATCCTCCTTTAGGTCTAGGTGAAGATGGTAAGGAGGAAAGGTGTAACATGGGGGCCCGTCCTAAGATATATTTCTGGGATCACTAACTGAAGTGGAGATGATTTGATTAAGTCAAGCACACTGTGTGTCCCAGCATAGTCAAGCTGTGAAAAGGTATTTGAGTAATACTGCAATTGTAGCTCTATAGAGTCTTTTGTGATAGAGTAAAACAAGAAAGTTTATGTAGAAGTCACAAAGTTCAGTAATATTTGTATTAGTTGAAGTCAAGAAAATGGTAGGGAATGTAGAAAAAATTGCAGAAACCAAAGATGTGCACTTTCTGTATCAGTGCACTAAAGATGAACTACGTGAGGTAGCATCCTCATATAATATTTCACTGAGAACATTTATTAAAAGTGACATGCAGCGAGAATTGATTGATGATCTGATCTCAATGTCAGTACTTGGTGAAATTGATCTCCCTGATAAACCTAGTTCTGATGAAGTGCAGATGAGTGAGCAATTAGCAATGGAAAAGTTAAAGCTAGAATTTGAGCACAAGAAGATGCAGCTACAGGCAGATAAGGAGATAAAAATTAAGGAGTTAGAAGTAGAAGAGAAAATAGGTATAAGAAGAGAAATTGGAGATAAGGATAATAGAGCAATGAATATACCTGAGTTTATTGAAGAGGAAGCTGAGGACTTCTTTATTCAGTTTGAAAAAGTTGCTAAAATCAAAGGATGGGATGAAAGTGACTGGGCAGTATTGATTCAGAGTAAATTTAAGGGCAAAGCTCGAGAAGCATATGTATGTTTGAGTATAGAGGAGTCTACAGATTATAGGACTGTCAAAGAAGCAGTGTTAAAGACTGTGGAAAAGGATCCAGAAGTGTATAGGAGAAGGTTCAGAGACATAAAGAAAGTAAGTGGACAAACTCACTTAGAAATAGCTAGAATATGTGGGATGAAATTTGATAGGTGGTGTAAATCTGAAGAAGTGAATACGATGGGTGAACTGAGAGAGCTGATACTTTTGGAACACTTCAAAAGTATTGTGCCTCCTGACATAAGGTATGAAATAGGTAAGAGTAGAGTGAGAAATTTGATGGACGCAGCGAGATTGGCTGACCACATTGAAGTAGCACATAGAATGTATGGGGAAGAGAGGTTGGATAGACAAAATAAAGTAAGGCATAATGCAAACCCAGCATATGACAGAAATTACAACCATCAGTCATATTCCGAATTTAAGCCAAATAATTCAGATTTTGCCAAGAGAGGTCGAAGTAATTATATATTGCAAGACACTGTAGAGAAGAAACCCCAAGAACAGTCTGTAAATAAGCATCCCAGATCTGAGCAAACTTACAACCAGCATTTTAGCAGACAACAGAGACCACCAGTGAAATGTTTTGCGTGTGGAGAAATAGGTCATGTCAGAAGTCAGTGCCAGAGTATCCAGAAGTCTGTGGGATTAACTATGGGTAGAGGAAAATCCCAACATATGTGTGACATTAGGGATGCCAACTATAATGTAAGAAAACAGAAACCTGTGGATTTTGAACCATTTATATTTGAAGGAAGGGTTAGTCTTAAAGGTATTCCAGAGAAGAAAATATTATTTTTAAGAGATACTGGATCAAATCAAAGTTTAATTCTAAAAGGATTATTAGAATGGACCAGTAAATCTTACACTGGAAGGGATGTATGCATAAAAGGGTTAGGATTAGGCATGACTGTCCCACTGCATAATGTGAATCTTGAGAGCGGGTTTGTGAATGGCATTGTTGAAGTAGGAGTAAAGGATGAACTTCCAGTACCAGGAGTACAGATGCTGTTAGGGAATGACTTAGCTGGTGATAAGACAATCCCTGAACCTATTATGTGTGAGAACCCACTCAAAGGGGAGGCTTCTGTAGAGAAGAGAGAGACAAATGATGAGATATACCCTGCCTGTGTCGTGACCAGAACAATGTCAAAGATAGGAGAAGAAATTAATGAAGTAGAAGTAGGGAATTTATTTGAGGAAGAGTTAGCAACAAATGGTGATGCAGTAGAAGTAAAGAAGAATGAACAGGGTGCTATAAAAATGAAAATAGATATATTACCTGATTTTGTTGTTGACAAAAAGGAATTGGTAAAATTTCAGATGGGTGATGAGAGTTTGACGGGATTTTGGAGTGAAGCAAAGCGTAATGGTGGAGAGAATGATGTAACTATTGGATTTTATGTACATGGTGATGTATTAATGAGAAAGTGGAGACCTGTGGATGTTCCAGTATCAGATCATTGGGAAGTGAGGAAGCAGATTGTAGTCCCAAAGGAATATAGGGAACATGTTATTGCTTTGTCCCATGATTCATATTTATCTGGACATTTGGGAGTCAGAAAGACCACTGACAGGTTGTTGACCCATTATTATTGGCCAAATATGAAAAAGGATGTATCTGTTTACTGTAAAACATGTGAGATATGCCAAAGAGTAGGTAAACCAAACCAGGTTATAAAACCTGCACCTCTAAAGCCCATTCCAGCATTCTGTAAACCATTTAGCAAGATAGTGATTGATTGTGTAGGTCCTCTACCTAGGACACGGAAAGGAAATTGCTATTTGTTGACTATCATGTGTGCATCCACTAGATTTCCAGAAGCCATACCAATGCGTAGCATACACTCTAAGAACATTGTGAGGGAGTTAGTGAGATATTTTTCCTGGGTAGGTCTACCTGAAATTGTACAATCAGATCAGGGAAGTAATTTCACTTCAGGAATGTTCAAGAAAATTTTAAAGGGATTACATATTAAACATAATTTGTCAAGTGCTTATCATCCTCAGAGCCAGGGAGTGGTGGAAAGGTTTCACCAAACTTTGAAAAATATTTTGAAAATGTATTGTGAAGAATTATCAATGGACTGGGATGAGGGTGTACCTTTAGCTTTGTTTGCCATAAGAGATGCTGTGCAAGAGTCCACTGGATTTAGTCCATTTGAGTTGGTATATGGACATGAAGTGAGAGGTCCTCTGAGCATGCTGAAGGAGAAGTGGATTGGGAAGGACGATGCTCCAGGATTACTAAAGTATGTGTCCGACTTTAAGAATAGATTATTTAGAGCTAGAGAAATTGCTGCAGAAAACTTAAAGAAATGTCAAGAGGATATGAAGAAATGGTACGATCAGAAGTCTAAGAGCAGAGAGTTCAAGCCGGGTGACAAAGTATTAGTATTGCTACCCCAAATAGGAAACCCTTTGGAGGCAAGATTCCAAGGTCCTTGGATAGTTGAAAAGAGAGTAGGAGAATTAAACTATGTAGTGAGCACCCCAGGAAAACGCAAGCCGAACCAGTTGTGTCATGTTAACATGATGAAACCTTATTATGACAGAAATTCAACAGAA